CCCCAAAACCCCAAAACCCCAAAACCCCAAAACCCCAAAACCCCACTAATTTTAAAAAAATTGAATTAAAATAATGGCCGAAGAAGGCAAGTTTTAACTCAACTTTAGATTTCCAGAATTTAGCAGGAAATACGAGCGAGCAAAGTTTATTGCTTGCACACGAAACGGTTGAGAAGTTAAAAGAGAAGATTGATAACCACATTTATTCAGAATTTATTAGCAATCAGAAGATTCCTTTCTCAAGTGAACATATTCTCCAGACCTGTATTACTGCTGTAAATAGTTGTTTGGGGTACCATGATTTGGTATTTTCTACTAGAGGGGGAGACTTCGAAGATGTAGAGGACGAGCCTCCCCTCCCTACAATCGACAAATGGTGTATGGACAATGTCCACGTTGAGAAAGTCAACAAGCTATGAATCGACACTCTTGACCCAGGAGACGATGATAAATAAATCAATCCGCTCATATCGGTCATTTGCAAAGTCCTACACTTCTGGGTTAAAAAGGACTCAGAAGACATTTTTAAAAATCAGAGAAAAACCTGAAGCTAAAATGATCAAACTTAAGCTAAAGCAAAGAGAAGTCCCTGAAGATGAGGCTAAGCTTCGTCAAAACAAGGAAAAGCAAATCCTCATTCGACAAAAAGAAGCTGCAGAGAAATAAGCGGATTCTTGAAGAAGAGCGACAAGAGAAGATCAAAAAGAGATTTGCACAGGGTGGTGACCCCAACGCTAGCCTTACTTGTGACCATAATGGTAAACCTATGATTGTGAAGAAGCTGAATGGCAATAAAATTGGCCCAAGAGATGGTCCGAGATACTCAATAGAAACAGTAGATAGGCACCAGATCAAGATCATGAAGCGGAAGAAGCAGAAAAAATTTGAATCTTATGCTAAAAGTCTATTCCAAATCAATTTCGAATCAAAATAGCATCGTTGATGATTTGAAATTAAACCGTGGTGACTTTATGGATGAGACAAACTCATCAGCAACTTTCGGGGATGTCTCTTCCGTCCTATCTCTTATGCCAGGAGTTCAGTATAATACAAAAGAGAGAACTTTCAAAGGACCAATGTATAAGAAAAAAAATAAGATGGCTATAAATGATTATAAAATCATTGCAAAGTCAAGAGGTAATTTCTAAACTTAAACTGTAGATAACCCAAAGGTCAGATATGGTGCTCAGGAGGAGATCCCCCAGGACTCTCTTAAGCAAGAAACACTCATAGTCCCAGAAGTGTCTGAAGAAGTAGCTTCCAGCATTACCTCATTAACGAAAAAGAGAAAGAAAGGGCCAGAAATAATAACTGGAGATTTAACTAAGAGTCATCTTCTTCAAGATGGAAGCTTGTTACATAATGTATCTTTAACAAATACTGGCACTGGAGTAAGACACTTGGTCATTTTCTAGAGATTTGGACACAGAAGAAGATTCACTGACGTAACATTTACAGGAAAGAATAATGACTATTTTATGAATTTCAATGGAATGAGGCCAACCACTGCTAAACTGCATTATAACGTAAGCCCTCGAAACAATTCTAGAATATGATCAAGAGGATGTCCATACGTAAATCTATGAAGGAAATTGGGAATCAGTTTTCAATAAAGCAAATGATCTTAGAAGATGGTAGATCAATAACTAATTTTTAGTCACGAATTTTACATCAAATCCCCAAATGGTTGAGAGGAGGAATAAATCGAAAAATATAAGAATCTCTGCTTTTAACAAATTTAACAATGATATTCTGCAAGGAAGAGTTAGTAGTAAAGCCTTCATCTTCATTACATAGATATTGGGTCTGGTTCTCAAGGACGGGTTCATTCCGCTGCATACAACACAAGACCCAGGATAAAGAAAGGTAGCTTTATCCACTAATTCTTTAGAGTTATTAGAAGGTAGACTCTCTGCTGAGTCTTCACAAAGGAACCAGCTCAGCTCTGGCTCTCGCCTGAGACGTATTTCAAGAGCAATAAAGACGAGCCTGAGGGAGAATGGGGCTAAGATTAAGGTTAAAAATTAGGCTCAATAGTTGAATAGTAATCAGGGGTTTTGGGGTTTTGGGGTTTTGGGGTTTTGGGG